CTATCACCAGCTGGAAAAGTTCTCCAAGCAACTATCTGCTGACCTAGGAGGAATGCAGTATATCTTCTGCTCTCTGATAGTATAGATGTGTTCCTGAGAGACTTTCTCTAGTATATAGGAATCACCAGGTGCCTTATTAAGTACATTGTTTCTTCTGCATAAAGGAAACTTGGTCTCGACTGAGGATTTGGCGCTCTGTTTTTCAATGGCAAACACTCTAAACCAAGGTACTGTAGATTCAGGTATAAATCCTGAGTTCCAGGACAGCATACAGGAGAGCTTCTAGAATGGGACTTTCATGGTTATAATGAATTGTGCATGGCAATCAAATCAGGCAACTTTATTGCACATACTTATCAGCATCAGAGATCATTTGCATGATACTTTGCAACTGTAAAACGTACCAGATTTGGATGAAAAACTAACAGACAACTTGAAAATGTCTAACCCCCCCAGCCAAGGGAATCCTATACCAGGATGCAGTGACTTGTACTGGGTTGTCCTTCAGATCACACAAGGCAAGAGGTCCACGTGAGCCTAAATGGCTCGGGGAGTTCACATGGTGAAGGCACAACAGGTTCTATGAGCAGTGGTACCAAAGGAGCAGCATGTATGACCTTTGACTCTGACCTGAATGATCAGGTTTTCATTTGCATCTGGGTCAACTAGGGATGGTCATTTGCCCAAGTCCAGTGCAGACCGTGATCTCTTGCCACAATGAGACGTCTCCCCTCCTCTGCCACTACAGTGGCCTAATTCCCTCCACCCTTATGGAAAGATGTAGCGTTATATCCCTAAATCAGAATTAGAAGTGATTATAGCATTGCCTAGTGATAACAGCCTGCAGACTTAGGTATTTCAGTTCATGTCATGAATGATAAACAACACATGGGTGATGTGCTGCAGCTGTTGAATGATATAAATTGCTCTCTAGATTAAACAGAGTCTACACTTTGCAGGATCAAGAAAGATTAATAACATTTTCAATATGGGATTAAGCTGTAATTAGGTAAATGTTACTTATATAAAAAGTAATATAGAGTGTTTAACTTTTATAACTTCTCATTGGAATCTTTGCCCAGTAGACTTATTAGGCCATATTTACATCGAGTGAATTCAACTGTATTGAAATCACTGGAGGTTTGACTGGGAGGCTGAATTTGGCTCACTGTGGTATTGACAAATGCATTTCATAGTAGGGTATGATATTCAGACTAGCTCGATATTGGCTTCACTGCTGTCATTGAAAGTAAATGGCCCACTGACTCCAGTGGGGGAGGAGAGAGGCCAGAAATGAAAATCCGATCCTGGGTTGAAGAAACAGTTGAAATAAAATATGATATACATTTGACTCTATTCTAAAGGGAGACAGCATGTAAGAGCTAATATACCTTATAACAATAGATATTTGTGCAGTCTTTTTTACCTGACTGTGCCTTCCCTCCCCCCAAATATTTCACAAATTGTGGGGGACGGGGTGTGTGTGCATGACAATATGTTTTAATGATCTCCAGGGCAGAGGACAGACAGAGCCACTTGGGGAAATAAATAATGGAAAAGGTGTCCATGAAGAGTGGAGAGAATTTCAGCTATTAAGAGTCTTATGTTTAGTGCTCTGTCTATCGAAGTAGGCAGTCAAAAGGGTTACATTCGCCCTACTGGGATGAAGAGATGCATAAATCTTGAACAATTGATGGTGTTGTATACATGACGTGGAGAGACCAGGTTGGTAAGATTTCTTGACACTAGAGCTAGAGAAAAAGCCTCCTGCTTGCAGCTGTAACCCTGTTTCAGTCCTATTTTTACAGGGCATCCTAAGTCTGCGGGTCTAGTCCAAAGTCTTGAGGTGACTGATCAGAAAAACACATGAGGCTTAGGAGCTATTTATTAAAAGAGACCAGATCTGAGCATCTTAAAAATGTGGAGGCCTCCTGATTTGAATTGTGATAGAGGATGAGGGTGGGGCAGTTCTGTACAAAGATTAAAGTATGATGCTTGGATTTGGATTTAGATCCAAACTCTGTAGGACTTTGGTTTGGCCTCCTCTCTTCTTATTACCTTTTATTGGGCTATAATTTTGTCCTGCTGCAAGTATGTAACTGCTATTAACTTCTATGTGTATCAAGGGGAGAATATAATCATTGGTACTTATGTGAGTATAAACTTCTTTCTCAGTTAAAATTAGTAAAACCTCATTGTTTCATGGTCTCAAAGGTTTTTATTGTTTTGATGCAAAAAATTGGGGGCTGTATTAACCACAAAGCTAGTACCAGCATTTTAACATGGTACTGAGGTCCTGACATGGGTGCAGCACTTGGAGTTAGTAAACTGGACCTCCCCAGTGGCAAATCTAAGGTGCAACTGGGTCAGAGAGTGGCTATTCACCCTGCATCAACTGTACAGGAAAGGAGGGTCTTCCCACTGTAACCAGCTGTTTCAAGACTGGAATGGCTGCACAAAACAGGGTTCACAGCTATGCTTGTGACAGCTGGTGAGTTGAAAAAAAGGCCCCTGTTTAGGGATGGCACATAACTAGTGAAGAGCAAGCTCCCCTCTCCTCCCCTCCCCTGAGAATGAAGATGATGGATTGTCCTTGTGATGTGGATGTCTACAATGAGACCTTGCCCCACTCTATAATAACCTAGATGCAAGGTTAGACACAAGACCTTGCCATGGTCTGTAATAACCTAGGCACTGCTCCTGATGTAATCCCAGGGCACAGAGCACCTCCAGAGGTCACCTAGTCTAAACCCTTGCCAGAGGCAGGATCATCCCTATCCCAACTGTCCTACACAACCCATCGCTTAAACTTGTCGTAAAACTACTGTCAGCCCTGACACGACATGAGGCCTGGGCAGATGTAACAACAGTGCTGCTCACAAGTGACGGGGCCAGCTGCAAGGGCGTAGCTGTTACCTCCACCAACTCCTGCCCTCATAAGGGAGTAAGTAGCAAATGGGTGGCAGCTCTCCCCCTGTTTCATTGCAGGGTCCCAAGGGCAAGGAGTTAGCTCAGTGCCCACCTGCTCCCCCCCCGAAAGCAGGAAAAAGTGACAGCCGGTGGTGCCTCTATTTCCCGTCTCTCTGCTGGGGGTGGTTGCTGTCTGCCCCCAGGGGTGATGGGGTCTGTTCTCCCCCATACATTATAAATCGCTGTGTGCTTTCAAGCCTTGTCACTGGGTGAGGCGAGGGGACAAAACCCGGCTAGACAAAGCCCTGGCTGGGATGATGTAGTTGGGGCTGGTCCTGCCTTGAGCAGGAGTTGGACTAGACAGGACCTCCTGAGGTCCCTTCCAGCCCTTCTTCTCTGTGACTTTGTGAGGGCGGGGGCTGGGTTTGGCAGCAGGGCTTGCTTTTTGTTCGGGGTCTGGAGCACCTCAGCCTGCAGCAGATGTGGGGGTGCAGGGCCACGTCCCTCCCCAGGGGCTATGCCCCATGCCCTCAGCCTGCCCAGCTCCCTTCATCAGCTTGGGGGGAGCTGCCCCTTCCCTCAAGGCAGAGGGGTACATTCCCCCCTTCCCAAAAGGCAGAGGGGTGCATTTTCCCCCTTCTCTCAGGGCACAGGGGTGCATTTTCTCCCTTCTCTCAAAGCAGAGGGGTGCATTTGCACACTTCTCTCAGGGCACAGGGGTGCATTTCTCCCCTTTCCTCAGGGCATTTCCCCTCTTCCCTCAAGGCAGAGGGGTGCCTTTCTCCCCATCCCTCAGGGCACAAGGGTGCATTTCCTCCTTCCCTCGAGGTAGAAAGTGCATTTCCCCCCCTTCCCTCAGGGCAGAGGGTGCATTTCCCCCCTTCCCTCAGGGCAGGGGTGCATTTCCTCCCTTTCTCTCAAAGCAGAGAGTTCATTTCCCCCCTTCACACAAAGCAGAGGGGTGCATTCTTCCCCTGCTCCCTCAAGGCAGGCGGGTGCATCCCCCCAACAGCGAGTCGCTCCTCACCTCAGCCCCCAACGGCTACAGCCGGCAGCGCGGGCGGTGGCGGCGCGCGGCCGGCAGGTGGCGC